TACATTGATGGTTAAAATTGAGATGTATTGACTTACGATTGACATGTTATTTACCTGTTGTCGTTTACTCCTTTTTCTCCTGTGTTTAATTGCTAGTGAAAATCTTCTTGATCTTACAGTTGGCAGTTTTTTTAAAAATATGACACCAAAAGCATAGGCAATAAAAGCAAAAGGACAGCTGTTCTTGATAAACATTTAAAACTGGTGCTTAAAAATATCATCAAGAAAGTGAAAAGAAAACCCACCAAATAGAAGAAGACATATATCAAATTTATCTACCTACCTATCTGATAAGGAAATTGTATTTAGATTATATAAAGTACATTGCCAATGTGATAAAAAGAAAAGAACTAAAATGTACAAAGGACTAAAACAGATCTTTCTCTAAAAAAATCCGATACAAGCATCCAATAAGCATATGATGAAGAGCTGAACATTAGTAAGCTTCCGGAGAATAAAGATAACCACAAAATAGCCCTTCAAACCTGCTAGTGTGAGATAGAGGGGAGGGTGAACATGATCAAGGGTTATGTATGTATAGAAATAGATTGAGACCCATTTATATAGATTAATGTATTAATAATTATAATAAAATGGAAAATAATGGGTATTGGCAAAGTTGTGAAGAAATGGGAAACCTCCTGCATTACTAGAGAAAGAATAAAATGGTGTAACCACTGTGGAAAAGTTTGTTGGTTCATCAATAATTTGAACACAGGGGCCGGGGAGATGGCTCAGTGGAATAAGCGCTTCTTTGGCAAGCACAAGGGTCTGAGTTCAATCCCCAGATCTGCCAAAAAAAAAAAAAAATAATAATAATAATAATTTGAATACAGAATTGCCATATGAGCTAATAGTTCCATTCCTCAAACAACAATTCAGAATGTATTCAAACAAAAACTTGCACAAAAATGCTCCAAGCAACACTACTCACAACAGCAAAAAAAGGGTGGGGGGACTCCAAAACCTACCAACTAGTGAGTAGATACATAACACACAGTACATCCTTGGACTACATTATTATTTGGCAATAAACAGTCATGCAGGGTTCAGTGGAACTCTGAAAACCTTATTCCAAGAGGAAAGAAATAGCTGGAACAAGCAAATCCACAGACACAGGAAGTAAGTTAGCAGTTACCAAGGTTGGGGGAGAGCAGGGCACGAGGAGGGGTGAGATAATATCATGCAAGTGATTGAAATATTATAAGATCAACTGTGGTGATGACACCATAAATCTGTGAATATGGAATCATCAAATTATAAATATTAAGTGAATGAATTATGTGCTTATCAATTAGATCTTCTTAAAGTTAGCTTTCAAAATCCACTTAGAAAGAGAAAGTCCAAAACTACCTACTTTGTAAAAAAAAAAAAAAAAAATTCCCTAAATCTCAGTCTAACGTTATCTAAGTTTTCCTCAGCCAAGTTTCTGGTGTCTTCGATGCACATTTCTAAAACTTCATAAAAGCCCTGAGGCGTTCAATCACTTAGCACTCCTCAGATAACAATTTCTTAGCAGAAACATTGATGCTAATATTTTCCTTACCTAGTAATCTTAAATAAATCAGTCATATAAAAGAAGTTGTGAAATAAAAGTGAAACATTAAACTCATTACAACCATTGACCTGGGTTATAGGTTTTTAAAGTGCCTGTTCAGAATGACTTGGCATTTTGATGACCAAGTTCTCCTTGTAAGAGAATATTTTCTAAGCTATAAATCAATGCTTCATTTTTGATCTGTCTTCACTTTAAAATAACTTACTGAAGTAACACTACGTACTATAAAATTGAACTCTTTTTGTGTGTGGTGCTAGATATTAAACTTTGGGCCTCAAGGGATGAGCAAAGGAGTTCTCCCACTGAGCTACACCTTTGGCCCAAAGCCAGCCATTTCAACATTTTAACACGAAGTGGTTTCTGGAACATCTCAGAGTTGCACAGCGACTACCTCGATCTGAGTGGAAAAAATTGCAATTGCTCTGAAAGCATGTTTTTATTTTTTTCAAGGTGTTTAAATGTTTGGATTTAAACAAACAAAAGAAACATGACTCTAGTCATTTTGTCTTAATCCTTGGTGCCTAAAGGTAACTGAACATGGTTAAAGCGAATGTGCTCCGCGGTGACTTGCTGGAATTGCTGTTGTGGCCATAAAAGGAGGGACCAGCCACAGAATCAGGTTTGTGGTTCTCAAAGATTAGATTCACATAAATAGGTTCTGGATTTTTGATATGACAACAAAGAACTCTTTTTTTTTTTCTTTTCAAAATGGGGATGGCTAGTATAGTGAAAGTAACTTTAATTTTTCTCATTCCAAAGAAACTTTTGGTATAAGGAGAGAGAGGTTTTTAAAAAGTAAAACTAATTGTTAAATAAGTGAATGACTTTCAATGATCGGCTTCCTAGCTGACTTTCCCAGAGGTCCTGCTTGAGGCCCCAACTTCCTGGAACTGGTTCAGCTATACTCCAAGCTTCCAGTTCAAGGTCGCTACTGCCACATATGTAACAGATAACTCGGTCACATGTCAGGAAGCATGGTGAGAGGCCTGGGGACCTGCATGAGGCTTTCTCTCCAGTGGAAAACTGATCAAGAAGAGGAATTCTGGTATAAAACATAGGCATGGCCTTAAACCCTGGAAAGGTCTAAATACTTGAATTAAGGGGAAAAAAACCTCAAGTATTTTCACCACACACGACTGATAAAAGTTTGAGGATATAAATATATTTATACTGATGTAAAAAATTATGCCAGTGTCAAACATTACATTCACATCTAAGATTTTTATGTTATGTGTCCATTAAAAAATAAATTTGAAAATACCTCATAGGTCATTATATTGAAACAACTCTGGGCCCTATCTCAGGAAAGCATATAGAAATACTTGCCTTAATGATGCACACCTACAATCCCAGCACTCTGAGAGGCTGAGCCTGGAGGATTGCAGGTTTGAGCCCAGTCTGGGCAACTTAGTAATACTCTGTCTCCTAAAAAAAATCAAATGAGGTGGAGATATTGTTCAGTGTGAATGCCCTGGGTTCACTCCCTAGTACCACAAAAAAAAAAAAAAAAAAAAAAGAAAGAAAGAAAGAAAGAAAAAAAAAAAGAAAGAAA